GGCCCGGCAAAGCCCATGCCGGGGGGTGTCTGGGCAGCTGTGCCAGGGCTGCCGCTGCCGCTGGGCGCTGCCTTGTCTCAGGCTCCTACCTGGCAGGTGTCGATGCCGCCCTGCGGGTAGCCAGCGCACAGGTTGTGGGGGTGGACGGCCCCTGCGTACCACCGGCTGCTGTTGCAGGAGTTGAGGTCGATGAGGTGGACATTGGCCTCCTGCAGGACATCTGTTGGTTCTGCGCCTGCGAGCACGGAAAGGAATTAATGCCTGGCAGCTCGTGGCCAGGTCTCCCGCCCCGTCTGGGTGAGCTTCTTCCCTGGGGCTTGGCTTTGCCCCAGCATTGCCCTGCTCTCTCGCCGCGGGCCCTGGGCCAGGCCCATCTCTCTACAGGCACATGTCCCCGCAGCCAGACTCTGGCTCTCGCCTCCACTGTCAGGCAGCCCAGCCCGCCTCCCCCGTGTGTCGAGCTCTCACTCGGGACGCGAGCACTCTAAGAACTCACCTCTCGCCGTCATGGACCTCCAGCCACCGATGTAGCATGTTGTCAGCTCTGACACTCGCAGCCAGCCAAGGGGCATGCAGGCCAGCTGGATGTAGTAGCCGCACTGCACGGGCTGGTCCAACTGCAGCAGCGCAACATCGTTCCTCTTGGTGACGTTGCTGTAGCATGGGTGAACCAGCAGCCGCTTAATGCTGCAAACTTGGGTCTCCCGGCCCGGCTGAGTCAAGTCAGTGGCCCCGACCACCACGCGTCACCTGGTGATGTGCCTGGAAGGCAGATGGGGAGAGGGCTCAGAGGGAGCGGAGCCACATGCTGCAGCAACCCAGCAGTTCCCTGCCCTCTGCTTCACGTGGGGGAGAGGAAAGCAGCGCTACAGAGGCTGAGACTGCCCTTGCATGACTTGGACTCGAGGCGTGTCGACCTGGAGGCTGCTAGGAAGCTGTGGCAGGAGCCCAGCGCTCTCCTGAGCCGCCTCTCAGCCGGGCTCTGCAGTGCCCAGGCACTGGGCGTACCACAAGGAAAGGGGATGGGAGTAGCACGTGGTGCTGCGGATGAGGCACCCACAAGTGCCGGGGGATATCCCCGTTCCTGGCCCTCCTTACCTGGCCTCGGTGAAGCAGCGGGCTGCTGTCAGGACCCACACACATGGCCTGTGCCTCTTCTCCGGGTATCCTGGATGCTCACGATCCAGGGCCAGCCCCCTGCCTTGGCGTCTCTGCCCCCCACCACGTGCGAGGTGTCGTCAGCAGCAGCCGTGGGCCGGAGCCTGCAGGTCCCTCTGCAACCAGAAACTCGTCACCTTCCTGCTCGACGGCTCACGGCTCTCCCGGCTGAAGGTCAGCCCTCTGCCCTCCCCACGGGGCGCTGCATGGACAGCAAGGCCAGGGAGCCCCATGGGGAGGGCGGGCAGCCACCCCCTTTTCTGCTGGAGTCCCGCAGGCGAGTTGTGCCAGCAGCTGGGTGCTGCAAGGAGCCAAGGCTCCTGCGTGGGGCTGGGGAAGCCGTGGTGTGACCACAGGGGACCAGTGGACACCCTCCAGGGAAACCCATCAGGGTGCCCAAGCTCCCTCCCATATCCTTGGCCACTCACCCACAGCAGTCCCAGGCGCTGGTCGCAGGCCAGCACAGGGCCAGCAGGACGAGGACGAGGAGCTGCCTTTAATCACTAGGTTTTATAGTTAATAATGAGGTTCAAAACTCCAGGCTGTCATTTGTAAAGAGAGCCCAGAACATGGGAAGTAGCATTATGCTTCATCTGAGGAACACGATCCCTTTCCCAGAAAGGCCAAACAGGGTCAAAGTGCTCAAGGACATTTCAAGTTGTGGAGAAAAGACAAGCTCATTTTATTTCCATGCAAAATAGGACTGGGCAGACCTGGCATACAGGTACAGCTTCCTGAGGCACAGAAAGCTGAATCCTCTGAAGGCATCAGGTGCCTGCATGGGAATTTAGGCTGCCCAGACTCCTACAGATGCCTTGGCAACAGGAGGCACCTAAAGATCTGGGACTGTAGCCAAAGCAGACCAGCTGCCTTGGCCAAAACCACAGGGGATCAGGGGTAAGAAAGGTGACCCAAATTCAGGCTCTAGCTTGACACCTGCAACCTTGACCATCCTCTGCACATTTACCCCTGGTAAAGCACATTTACCCCTGCTGTGGACACAGAACATAAAATGAAACAGAAGACCAAGATCCTCAACAGTCACCTTCACTAGACAGGAATAACAGCATCTACTGCAGTACCACCACCCTGATGAGGATAACTGTTGGTTTGGAATAAAAGCTTGGAGGACAATAGTGTTTTCCATAAAGGTGTCCATGATGCTAAATAGACATTTTAGGGACAGGAACTGTGGCTTTTTTGAAAACGTTTTCAGAGCTTTTACATAAACCATTTAGGGGTTATTAAATAAAAATCTGCCTCTTTACTTTTACTGTTTAACACTTTCAATTTCTCCTTTTATTTTCTGACATGCATTTCTATCAAAACTGTCCTCTTTTCATCTCAGTCTGCAGCCCATTTACAGCGCAGAATAAAACTTTACACCCTTGAGGGAAAAGGGAAAAAAAATAGAGAGGACAGAAATAATATTTTCAAATTACCAAATAAAATAAAGAGGTATCCAATTTGCTTGCCTTGCAAGTTGTAAGTACAGGGGGCTAAAAATGCTGTCTGTTCTGCAGAATGGTAAAAATTAAGCCTGACATTCAACTTTTTGGTTCAGGTGGGTATTTGGCAGCCTCCAGCAGATTCTGCCTTGCTGTGGCACACAGCAAATGGATCCTTAAGTGTCCTAAACGCCAATTTACTATTTGCCCCAATTTGAAAAGACAACTCTTCCAAATTGCACCACATTAAAAGGTGGTCTATATTTTGCCTTCCATTGAGAGTAAAGGTCATAGTGTACAAAATATTCTTCAGAAACATACTAACTCTGTTACTGAATCCTGCAAAACTACATCTGCCATCAGACTTCTCCACAGAAAATTGTAAGCCTTAAGTTAAGCCTGAAGTTTTTCTTTTCTCTTGAAAGAGAAGGGCTTGGTAAACCCACTGTATTAAATCTGTCTCAATTGGGCATCATTTATGTTGACTGAGAGTAGACTTAAATAACTTCCAGATGTCCAAGCCAGAGCAGATGGATAAAACCCTTTGTGTTTAAGTCTGAACTCGCTCACATCAAAGGCAGCTGATGGTGAGAAGTGCAGCTCCAGGGAATGATACATCTCAAGGGGCTGAAGGCCAAATGAACTTCCCTCTGAAGACACCTGCTGGCACGAAGTTTGGAATGCAACCTGGCTGGAAGAGGAGGGAAACATGCCTCCTGCAGCAATGTTGTTAAGATAACATGAAAAATAGGAGACTTCAGAGAAAAAGGTATGCTGTAAGGAGGTGATTTAGCCATGACCACAGCCTCAGAGGAAGCAGAAACAGGGCCTGAGGAATGGAAACCAAAGTATGGATGGCACTGCAGAACCAGAGATGGAAGGCTCTAGCGTTCCATCATTAGAACAAGGAAAGCAATTAAATCACCTCAGAGCAAAGTCTGTTTTCCCTGACTGACGGGAAGAAGCAGGTTATTTTCCGTATCAGTGGTTTAGAATAGAAACAGCTCTGAGACAAGCACTAGAGACTGCAGCTCTAGTCTTTGAGACTTCTCCTCTCCATGGCACAGGAAAGGGTCTTTCTGGGGACCCAGTTTGAGAACCTGAACCCAGCACCTGCACCTCAGGACCATACTGAACATAACAGTGCAAAACCAAAATAACTTCCAATTCATGTTCTCAAGTTGTGGCTTGACAAAAGCAGCTCCTGCGATAACATCTCATCCACTGCATACATCTCTATCCTGAGTAAGAGTGAGAGCATGCACTACATACACTCACACAGCAGCAGGGAGTTCAAGACAAAAGTTTGAGAAAACTGTGGGAGAAGAGTTGTAACAGGGATCTAAAGTGGATTTGGTACATTTTGCTGAAGAAAGTTCAAATGCTTGCTCTTCTGTACACAGAAACCACAAGCTGAAGTCCATCAGCTCCCCTCTCTGCTCTGAACCCCTCTGACCCTGGACAAGTCCAGAACCACACTCAAGGTTTCAGCATTAGCCTACTTCAGCTTCTCCAGGGTGGCTTAAAACAGGCTAGATTTAGGTATCAAATGAGCATAAAGGAAGAATTCCAGTCCTCGACAGTGATGTGTTATTTCTAATTATCTTCACTCCAGTGAAGCAACCACCAGTAGGGCAGCAGGGAACAGACACAGTCACACCTCAGCCAGCAGCAGCTTTCTGTCATGTCTTAAGAAACTTCACAAGATGAAGATAGTAACGACCATATGCTCAGAAAGCATTGTCACAAGGAGCACAATAGGCAGACTGAAGCATTGAAATCTAACTACTTCCAAGTCCTGTAAAAAGCTCCAACAACAAAAGCCTCACAGCCTGCTTCTCACTAAGTATTTACTTTTCCCTGGTTAAAAGAAGTTTTACATTATCATCACCACCTGCCCTCCACTAAAACCATCCTTTCTCCGCAGATGGGTGAGGCCCACTCTCCTTAATAAATCCTCACATATATAGAAGAGAAGTGACATGAATAGCAACTCTGTACACATTGGGTATTTCCTCTCCAATCACGTAGTCTTGGGACATCTTCCATAATTCCTCTCAGTCTGCATTTTAACAACCTTGTGAATAAATTTCTATCATTCTTTCTGTCTGTTTTCTAGCTTTTAACCCTTTGATATTATCCAACTATGGTTAAGTTCTTTAAGAGCCTTCAGTTTCTTCAAGGGGCATGTTTTTCCCTCCACTCCTAAAAGCATTCATTACTCTGCTGTTTAACCACACTGCTGTTCTCCGAAAAGTATTTTAGATATGGTTTTAATAGGTGGTAAAACATTTACTCTGAACTGCTCACACAAGGTCTTTAAACAGTCTCCAAGCCTCCTGCAAGCCTTGTACCCTCTGCCCCTCCTGCTCATTCCCTGTGTAATAAACCATTGTAACTAATTTGCTAAGTTAAGCAAGGCGGGTACATTACACTTGAATGATTTGTGAATGTTAAACCATAATATCCTGCTGTCTGAAATACTGTAAAAATAGAATATGGTACCCTGTGTGGATCTGAAATTATTTGTGATCACTATAACCTATATTATAATTATGATGAATGTTTGAATATATATGGATAAAATATAAAGTGTGCCATTTGTCTGGAACAATGTAACTGCTTCTTAGAAACACCACCTAGAACTGATATAACTGCTGCTTGAAAAAGCCTGCCGAAAGATAAGATCATGGGGCTTTCAAAAGATCCAATAGGAGAAAAGCACGCCAAGAGACCAAGGCTTCGAGACTTTCAAAAGACTCAATAGGAGGAGGACACAGGAGGACACGCACTCCAGCAACTCAAATGACCCAATGGAAAAGAGCAGGACAACTATCTGACGAGGGGGGATTGGTTAAGACGGTGGTACAGGAGTATAAAAGGCGCTGCTCTTTAGAACTCGGTGTGCGTGTTGGCAGAGCGGAGACTCCCTACACACCCAGTGCTGTGTGTATTTGCTTATTGCCTTTTTCTACTAATCTATAATAAATCAACTATTTTTTTGTGGATTGGAATCTTGGTCGTTTATAATACCTGTTATCAAGCTTTCTCCACTTTAAAAAGAAAACCCCACCAACAGTGTAGTCTTAGTGGATTTTTTGGCTGTTTCATTACTGTAAAGCATTGAATTTGAGTACATTTGGTCTCTACAACTGAATGGCTGTTTCATAGTTACCTCTTCAGGTAGGTCCTGTACACAGCTTACAATCAGCAGAGTTACATGTCCCTTGTGGATTCTCTGCTTGACTGATCCAAGGAGCTGTCAGTCCGGGTGCCTGAATACATTTAAACAAACTGTCATGACATTTAAACAGTCTACGTGGGGTAAACGGAAGTCTCCTGTTATCACTAAGAGCAATTTCAAAGTAAAAGTTCAATGAAACTGCAGTCATGGCCTTTTCCCCTTGACAGCTCTGTCAGGTATCCCAACCAATGCACTTCTCTGCTTTTAAATCAAGTGGAATTTTTGGACTCATACTTTCCACTTCCTTCTCTTGCTGTGTTACTGTAGAAGAAACATCTAGGGATAAAACTGCAATTATTTCTCTCCCTCCTCTTTATCTCCCTAAGAAATGAATGCTTCCAAATCACAGCAGGCCCACTATACTACTCTTAAAGCAAGAGAAGACATGTTTCTTAACATGCCCCTACAAAACTTTTGCTTCCATCTTCCTAGTTATTTTCCTGATCTAATTAGTGGTGCAGAGAATTAAACCTCAGCCTTCAAGACCAACAGCTCCCAGGAGACCAATCCAAACAGCTCCTGTCCTCAGCTAGAGTTGAGG